ACAAAATAAGTATTTATTACTAACCAGCTAGTAATACTTTTTTGTAAGGGTTAGTAGTAAATTCGACTGTAAATTAAATTTCTGTATTTCTTTCTCTTCCTATCGCTTTCGACATTCTCATTTTGTCGTTGCAATTTGGCTTATTTTCTATTTCCAGGAAATTTTGCTACAGAGGTAAGCAAACAGAAATATCCTGAAGGGGCAATCAAAAATAATATTTTAAAAGCGTCGAAAAGCCACTTCCAATTTTTCTAATGTATCTTAACTATCCGTCAAATATCTATCATGTAACCTTTCGATGATTTTACGTTATTTTAGATTCAGAATATCAACGAATTATAATAAATGAATGGAAAAATAAGTTTTGTGAATACGAAAAAGAGAAGAAGAATTAACAAAAAAAAAATAAAAATAGCGATTTATTGAGGTACAAAATTACACAATAAAAAGAATAGTTGAAGCTTTAATTAGATACAGTCTAATAAAATTTTTATCATGTGATGATACATGCAACAAGCTTTCAACGATTGATAAAACATACACTTGTATCTCCAGTGCGTATTTCCTAAACCTCTTATACATGCTCGCCGTACATGAATATAAACTTGATTTCCCGAAAAGAGAAAATCAATATTTTATTCAAATCAGACGTCAACGAATAATAATAATAATTTTGTCGAAAAATAAACCGTTACTTTATGAAACTATCCAAATTAATTCTGATACAGAGTCGACGTCGGCGGACGTTTCTTGATCCAGCTCTTGATGGCCGGTAATTCCTCAACCTTCTTTTGTAGTTGTTTCAGGTTCTCATACTTTTCGATGATGTTCTCATTTATCATGTGGTTCAAATAGTCCAAAAGAGCGACGAAAGTGATATCGGCCCACGTCAGAGTACCGCCGACAAAGTAACCGCCATTCTTCTTCACCTGAGCGTCCAAACGCTCCAAATAATACGGCACCGTCTCTTTGGCAGCTTTAAGTTTCTCTTCTTTAGCCTGTTCTTTACTTTTATAGTGAAAACCCTCGAGATCTAATGCAAGCAAAAGAATGATAAGACAAATAAGATAATGACATTCGATTATATCAGTAGATCGAATTTATAACGCGAATGTAGAAAAACCTATTTCTTCCTTGTATATATATTATTATTTCGGAATAAATCTGTTCGCATTATCGAAATGTGAACCTATTAGATGTTGTGATTCAAATCTGTTTTAAAAGCAAATCTCCGCTTCTGGTAAATAAAACCTCGAAAAAAAAACAGTGGTAGTATTATACCTTAAAAAAATCTAAGTAACAAGTAGTAGACGAAATCCTTGTATCTTGAAAAATCTCGAAAAAACCTAAACAGTAGTATCTTCACCTCAAAAAAAAAACAAAGTAGTAGTATTATACCTCGAAAAAACCTAAGTAACAAGTGGTGGACGTAATCTTTGTATCTCCAAAAATCTTGAAAAAACCTAAGCAGTATTATTTTTATTTCCAAAAAATTATTACTCAAGTGATACATATCACAAAATTACGTTACCTTATCAATAAATGAGTTGCGCTTCAAGTGATCTATTATTACAATTACAAAAAAGAAATGATATCTCTTTTTAAATTACAGCGCCAATTACAGAGAACATATATTTTTCGAGATACAAAGATTACGTCTACCACTTGTTACTTAGGTTTTTTCGAGGTATAATATTACTACTGCTTTTCTTCGATTAGAATAAAAAATTGAATCATGAAGAATTACACAGAGGTAACAGTACAAAATACAAATATTTTATTAAAATATTTAAACCCAACAAGGGAATACAAGGTATTTAAATACAAAGTTTATATATGTATTTTAAAAGATTTAATCGCATCGCAAAGAATTACAGAGCAGGTAACAATACAAAAAATAAAAATATTTTATTAAAATACATAAATTTTTCTTGTCAAAAAACTTGGCGTTGCTAGACCTCAAAATTAGGTCTGCCTGGTGTGTATGTGCGAGCGAATGGGTGTGGGCGATGTGTGTGTGTGTGTGTGTGTGTGTGTGTGTGTGTGTGTGTGTGTGTGTGTGTGACGGTGAATAATGCGGCTTATTACTAAGTATAGGATAAGTTAGGATAAGTTTAGATTTTTAAAGCGATTAGAATTAAGTATAGAATAAGTATAGAATAAGTAATATCTACATTTGTAAAAGGTCTCTCTTTCTCTCTCTCTCTCTCTCTCTCTCTCTCTCTCTCTCTCTCTCTCT